GAGGACCACTCCCCCCTCCCAAACAACTCATCTGATGTCTGCTCTTCAAAAGAAATCAGACCAGGGTTCCAAAACCTAGGATACTAAGACTACCATTGTCTGGCTGCCGTTCTCCTTTCTGCCTCCCAAGGTTATTCTCACAGTCCATTAAACCTGATCTCACCTGCCTGTTTTATCTAACCATTCATCAACTTGTGAAGCCGGCAGCAAATACTAACATGGACTGGAGAACTGCAGAAAAGCAAAACAGCCAGGGGAAAAAAAACAGACAGACAACAGACAGGGCTTAAAACAAGGACACCAATGCAATTAGGCATGACAGCTAGACCTAATTAATATATATATATATCCCTAGGGTTAATGGAGCCAGGCTGTAACATCTGGAAAAATCTGCCCGGCAACGTTTAAGAAGCCAGATTAGCTTTCCTGTACAGTATTGAACCTCAGGAATCTGGTAGGAACTTTGCAAGACTATCAGATGTTATTATTTAGTTAGTTATTAAATTTGTTTACTCTCCGCCTTGCTGCAAGGCAATTCTGAACAGCTTGAAACATTAAAATAAGACCATATGTCTATACACATATCTATAAATAGATGATAAACAGAGAGACAGACAGACAAAAGGAGAGAGAGAGAGAGAGAGAGAGAGAGAGAGAGAGAGAGAGAGGGAGAGAGGGAGAGAAAGAAAGAAAGAGAGAGAGAGATGATAAATGGATGGGTGGATGGATGGATAGACAGACAGACAGACAGATAGATAGAACATAGATGATAAAGATAGAGATAGATAGACAGACGTGTGTGTGTAGATATATAATCACAATAAAAATAAACAATAAAAAAGTTATAACTAAAAGACAAGAAGATAGGGAGTAGAAGGTACAGCAGGCAATTAAATTCTATTAAAAGGTAAAAGGTTTTTTGAAGCTCAAAGTTACTCAGCCGGCTTTCATACCTAAGGCGGGACTAGAACTCACAGTCTCCTTGTGATTGGCCCAAAGTCACCCAAACCGGCTTTCATGCCTAAGGCAGGACTAGAACTCACAGTCTCCTGGTGATTGCCCCAAAGTCACCCAGTTGGCTTTCATGGCTAAGGCAAGACTAGAACTCACCGTCTCCCGCTTTCTAGCCTGGTGCCTTAACCACTGCCCCAAACTGGCTCAAACACTAAACCAGTGATGGCGAACCGAGTGCCCAAAAACTGGCTCCGCCCCCGCTCCACCTCCCTGCTCCGCCCCCACTCTGCCCCACCCGACCCCCTGCCCTGCCTGCCCACAGGACCACTCACCGCCTCCAGGGCCCGCCGCAGATCGCCCAGGCAGCCCAGCAGCGCCATGGCAGCCATGCCCTCTGCCCGCGTCCCGCAGCATCAACTGCGCATGATGGGGTGTGAGGACAGAGTCTTGTCTATGCTGCCTGGCTGCCATGTCCTTGGCTGCAGTGCTCCGTGTGGGCCACGCTTGGGGGCGACTCTCCTTCAGGGGGGCTGTTGGAGAGGGGGTCGCGGGGGGAGGCAAGGCTGGGGCAACGGCACGTGTGCCCACAGAGAGGGCTCTGAGTGCCGTCTCTGGCACCCGTGCCACAGGTTCGCCACCACTGCACTAAACTGTCTAAATGAGGACATCATCTTCCCAGGTTAGTTCAACCAACAACGAACCAGTGTTTGAATGGAGGACTCTGTAGGAAGAGCCTTGCAAAGAAATGCGAAGAAAGATTCACACACCACACTACGGGTAGTCCCTGAGTTACAACAGTTCATTTAGTGACCGTTCAAAGTCACAACGGCACTGAAAAAAAGCAACCCGTCCCCATATTCCCACGATCAAAATTCAGCGCTTGGAAACTGTCTCGTATTTATGACGGTCGCAGTGTCCCCTTTTGCGACCTTCTTGCAAAGAAATCCAATGGGGAAGCCTGATTCACTTAACAACCGTGTCACTTAACAACGTCACCGCTGCAGTGATCCGCTTAACAAGTGTGTGTGGGCACACGCAAGGTCGTAAAACGGGGCGAAATTCACTTAACGTTTCACTCAGCAACAAAAGCCTGGGGCTCCACATTACGGTCGTAAGTCGAGGACTCCCTGTGTTTTGGCAGTTGGACACTCAAAGGTCCTGCCAGGCCTGACCCTTCTCATGTGCTTGTGCAGCTAAAATGTTCCAGCTTGTGGATTTTGGCAGGCGGATCTTCGCTCTGACCTTCCCGAGGGATTAGAGGTTGAGTCCGACGGAGTTTGGAGAATCTAAAGTTCAACCCTTCCCTCAAATAACAACCAACGGGGTTTTAAAAGATCACGAAGATCAGATCGGTTAGAGCAGAAGACCGGACCTCTTTCTCTCCCTTCTGGAGGGTTCCTAGCAGAAACGGCTTCAGAGGTAGACTGCCTTAACACATGGAAGCTCCACTGCGAGAGAGTTCGATGTCCAGAATTGGCACCTAGCAGCACCTGATCTGTTTGTCAAACTTGGTTACCATCAAAAAGAAGCGGAGCTCCTAAAATAGCTTTTTTGATGAAGCAGATAGGACAAGGGGTCTTCAAACTTGGCCCTTTTATGACTCGTGGACTTCAACTCCCAGAATTCCTCAGCCAACATGGGGGGAAATATGGCCCCTTCATGACTCGTGGACTTCAACTACCAAAATTCCTCAGCCAGCATGAGGGAAAATTTGGCCCCTCATGACTTGTGGACTTCAACTCCCAGAATTCCTCAGCCAACATGGGGGGAAATATGGCCCCTTCATGACTTGTGGACTTCAACTCCCAGAATTCCTCAGCCAACATGGGGGGAAATATGGCCCCTTCATGACTTGTGGACTTCAACTCCCAGAATTCCTCAGCCAGCGTGCCAGCCAGCCAAGTTTGAAGACCCCTGAGATGGGATGAGAGTTATCCCTTCCCTGTAGGCTTAACGTAAGGCCAAAATAAACCCCATTTCTAAGTTCCAAAATGTACGAAGCTTCGAAAAATTAACCAGCATTCAAAACTCCCCATGGTTAGTGTTTAGTGTGGGCATGCTGGAGTCCTGTGCAAGCAGGACACGAAAATCCAGCCCTTGCATGAGCTTAGTTCCTAAATTCAATATGGGTGGCTGGGGAATTCTGGGAATTGAAATCCACCCATCTTCAAGTGGCCAAAATAGAGAAACACTGCCCTAACGCAAGAAAGGCCAACTGACCACAGATGTAGCATTACCCAACCCCAGACAGAGAGTGCAGCAAGCCAACCTCAAACCAGGATAAGAAGAGGTGGGCAAACATCCTCAAGGATTCCACTAAACCAAAAAAATTACCTTTAAAAAAAGCAAATAAGCTCCCCAAAGCATTTTACTGCAGTGCATTTAATCAACCCTAGTTTTCCAATTACTGGTATACGTTTAAAAAAAAAATCATTGCTAAAGAAATTGCTATCACGGTTCTCCATTCCTACATTTTCTCCCCTGGTCTCCGAGATTTTAACCTTTTGACCTCTTCCCAATTGGAAAAGCGTGCAAAGTCAAATACTGGGAAGGGGGGTTTCCTTCAAAGCATAGTAATAAAGTTATGGCGGTTAGCACAGCGGATGTTTAGACTGGATTTGGCATTTTTAGGCCCCTCTCAAGTCCTTCCCAAAGACCTGGGAGAGGCAGATGGAACATAGAATACATAGGGCTGGATGGGACCTTGGAGATCCTCCAGTGACCAACCCCCTGCTCATGGCTGGAGATCCTATACAATCCTGTATTATATTATAATGTGATATTACATTAATGTATAGGAATATATGATAGAGGGTTTTCTGCCTGAGCAGGAGGTTGGACTAGAGGACCTCCAAGGTCCCTTCCAACTTTATTATTATTATTATTATTATTATTATTATTATTATTATTATTATTATTATTATTATTATGATCATCATCATCATCATCATCATCATTAACATTAACATATATATTGTATTAATATATATTATATTTTAATATACATTGTATGATATATCTTCTACCTTTATCTTAATCTTATATATCTATCTTATATGTCGTACTGTATATCATATTGTACATATATATTTCATATCATATTATACCTTATATTATCTTATCCCTTTATCTGATATCTTCATTTTACATCTTATATAATTTATATTATATTTTATATCATATATTATATTACACCTTATGCATATCATATTACCTTATCCCTTTATATTATAGCTTCCTCTTATATCTATATCTTATACTGTATCTCTTATATTGTATATCATATTATATCATATTATCTTATATCTTATATACCTTTATCATACTGTATATCTTATATTGTATATCATATTATATCCTATTAGCTTATAACTTATCTTATCCCTTTATCTGATATCTTCATTTTATATCATATAACTTATACTATATTTTATATCATATATTATATTACACCTTATGCATATCGTATTACCTTATCCCTTGATCTTATAGCTTCCTCTTATATCTATATCTTATACTGTATCTCTTATATTGTATATCATATTATATCCTATTATCTTATATCTTATATTATACCTTTATCTTATACTGTATATCTTATATTGTATATCATATTATATCCTATAACTTATCTCATACCTTTATCTGATCTCTTCCTCTTATATCTATCTCTTATATAACTTATACTGTGTATCTTGTATCATATCATATCATATCCTATGAGATCCTATATATGTTGTTATTATGATCATGATGATTATGATGATGATGATGATTTCCAGCGAGCAGCCCACTCCCACCCAGGGTTCTCTACCGCTCAGGATCTCCATAAAGAGGAAAGTCAAGCGAAAGAATAGTCTGATCCTAGGACCCTGGGGGGGGGGGTGTTGTTCAGACGACTGGATCCTTCGCCCCCCGCCCTCCCGATCTCCCCTTGCCACGAGAACCAAAGCGGGGAAGGCGCCCCCAAAGACGCGCAAAGAGATGCGCGGCATCCTCAACCCCCTCCCCAGTCCCCCCTCCAAGCCCCCCGCGCAGAGCCCTACCTCGCAGGACCCCCGCGTAGGCGGCGATGAGCGTCTTCATGGTTTCCGCGCTGCGCCCTTCAGCGCCCGTCCATGCCGCGGGGGGAGGCAGCGGAGGAAAGCGAGGCCAGGGGGGCAGCGCGGGGCTCCCGACACTCCGATCTCCGCCGCCCGGCTCGGCTCAGCCAGCCCAGCCCAGCGCCCGCCGCGCCGCCCTTTATAGCACCTGCCCGGGGCGGAGCTGGGAGGGCGGCGGAGGGGCGGGAGGAGCCGGGGCCGTTGCGCGGCGCCCGGGCATTGTGATGCTGCGCGCCCCGCCGGCCCCTCGCCCTGCCAGGACGCAGCCGCCCTCCGCCCGTCCGGCGGGGATGGAGCGCCCAGGGAGGGGAGGGGCGCTCGGGCCAGGAATGCCCCCGGGGAGGGTCGCCCAGAAGAGTGGGAGACCCAGGACCAGGGTCANAAGAGGGGGAGACCCAGACCAGGGAAAGCCAGAATGAGGGGGGTACACAGGACCAGGGTCACCCAGAAGAAGGGGAGACCCAGGCCAGGGACAGCCAGAAAGAGGGGGAGACCCAGGGGAGGAGCATCCAGAAGAGGGGGAGACCCAGACCAGGGAAAGCCAGAATGAGGGGGGTACACAGGATCAGGGTCACCCAGAAGAGGGGGAGACCCAGGCCAGGGACAGCCAGAAAGAGGGGGAGACCCAGGGGAGGGGCACCCAGAAGAGGGGGAGACCCAGACCAGGGAAAGCCAGAATGAGGGGGGTACACAGGACCAGGGTCACCCAGAAGAGGGGGCACCCAGGACTAGGGAAAGCCAGAATGAGGGGGGTACACAGGACCAGGGACAGGCAGAAAGAGGGAGAGACCCAGGACCGGGGAAAGGCAGAATGAGGGGGGTGCACAGGAGAAGGTCACCCAGAAGAGGGGAAGACCCAGGAACAAGGACACCCAGAAAAAGGGGGATACACAGGACCAGGGAGACCCAGGAAGAGGGGGATGCCCAGAGGAGGGTCACCCAGGTGAGCTCGGGACCAAGGCTGCACGCGGATGGCTTTGTTCCCACAGGCTGCTAAAACCGGGGCTATCGGGATGAATCCACCTGGCGCAGGTGATCCAGAAGGGCTCCTAGGGGGGCTACGGAGGTTCTCCGTCATCCAGGTCACAGTTATCTCAAAGCTGCTTTTTTTTCTCCCCCCCCCCTTTCAAAAGGCAACTGGGCTGTTTGTTCTTTGAGGAAGAAGAAGACGCTTCCTTCCTTATCCCAAAAGTTTCATCAGTTACATGTTCTATGTATATATAAGCTTCTAGGGAACATCACCTGTGTGAGACAGGGAGAGTTTTGCTGTCTGCTTATGTACAATTATATAGAATAGACAGCAAACCCCCCTCCCTTCTAGCACTGATGATGTTGCCTAGTTGGGTCAGGAAAGGTCTGCAAGAAGACAACCAAGCTCAGAAAGCACCAAGGACCCCAGAGTTGTTGTTGTTGTTGTTGTTGTTGTTGTTGTTGTTGTTGTTCTTCTTCTTCTTCTTCTTCTTCTTCTTCTTCTTCTTCTTCTTCTTCTTCTTCTTCTTCTTCTTCTTCTCCTCCTCCTCCTCCTCCTCCTCCTCCTCCTCCTCCTCAATTCTTCTTTCTGTGCCTTATTTTTCCTTTAGATATCATTTTTTCCCCTTTAACATTCATTTTTTTTTTAAAAAAAAGAAACATACTCCCTAATTACAGGTAGTCCTCGACTTACACAAAGGCCCGTTTAGTCACCGTTCGAAGTTACAACGGCAATGAAGAATGTGACTTATGACCGTTTTTTCACACTTACAAACTTTGCAGCGTCCCCCTGGTCACGTGATCCAAATTCGGACACTTGGCAACTGAGTCACATCTATGACGGCCGCCGTGTCCCGGAGTCACGTGATCCCCTTTTGCCAACCTTCTGACAAGCAAAGCCAATGGGGAAACTAGATTCACTTAACCACCGTGTTACTAACTTAACAACTGCAGGGATTCACTTAATAACTGTGGCAAGAAAGGTCGTAAAATGGGGCAAAACTCACTTAACAAGTATCTTGTTTAACAACAGAAATTTTTGGCTGAATTGTGGTCATATGTTGAGAACAACCTGTAATGTAAAATGCCTGCAAAATACACATTAGCTGATTATTAAATACCTGGCAAATCACTTAATTCTGCCCTGCGGGGAAGGAGTTATAGAATATAGAATAACAGAGTTGGAAGAGACCTTAGAGGTCATCTAGTCCAACCCCCTGCTCAGGCAGAAAACCCTATACCATTTCGGACAAATGGCTGTCCAGTCTCTTCTTAAAAACTTCCAGTGTTGGACCATTCACCGCTTCTGGTGGCAGGTTGTTCCACTGGTTAATTGTTTTCACTGTCAGGAAGTTTCTCCTTAGTTCTATGTTGCTTCTCTCCTTGGTTAGTTTCCATCCGTTGCTTCTTGTCCTGCCTTCAGGTGCTTTGGAGAATAGCTTGACTCCCTCTTCTTTGGGGCGGCCCCTGAGATATTGAATTTACACCCCTCAAAAAATAACTTGATTTGATGCCACCCAGGAAAGACCACCAGACATGGCGCTGCAAACTACAATTTGGAGGGGATCACAAATTAAGTGCTGGCTATTTTTTTTTTTTTTTCTTTTGAGAAAAATCAGGTCAAGTCGTCCTTTGCCCTCCATCATTTGGAAACCTGGCAGTGGTTTATTTTATTTATTTTATTTTTTTTTAAGAAAAGGGGAGAAAAAAGCGAAAGAGCTGGCACAAAGCATGCTGATGTAAAAATGATGAAATATACAATATTGCAATGTCGTGTCACAAATCCAAGATTTGCAACCGGGGATCTAACGGCATGAATGACAGGATGCACGTTTTATAGCATGAGGCCTGGAAGGGACCCCTGACCCACACACACACATACACACGGGCAGTTAAAGTTAGTGACTCCTGGTAATGCAAAACGCGTTGGGGAAAAAACGGGAAATTTGAGAATGGAAAGAGAAAAAGCAGGAGGGAAAGAAAAGGGAGAAAAAAAAATAATTGGCCAAAATTGAAAGCCAGTCTGGTGTAGTAGTTAAGGTACCGTAAGGCGCAAGATTCGTTTTTCTCACCATGCACATGTACACATAATCCGAACTGGCCTGTGTTTTTTCTCTGTGTCATATAATATATGTGGGTAGAGGGAGAACATCTGAAAACTTTTCTGATAGTTAAAAGCATCCCAGCATTGGAAGCAACGACCCAGAGAGATGACGGCTTCGCTTCGTTTGATGCCTTCCCATGATAGCTTGGCAGCCATGCTTTAGCCTGGATGCCCACACCGAGAAGGAGGTTGGGCTGGATGACCTCAGGAGCACCTTCCATCTCTGAAAAAGAAGTTTGGCTGGATGACATCAGGGATGCCTTCCGTCTCCGAGAAGGGGGTTTGGCGGGATGACCTCAGGGGCGTCTTCCGTCTCCGAGAAGGGGGTTGAGCTGGATTACCTCAGGGGTGCCTTTCGTCTCCGAGAAGCGGGTTTGGCTGGATGATCTCCGGGACGCCTTCCGTCTCCGAGAAGGGGGTTTGGCTGGATGACCTCAAGGGCGTCTTCCGTCTCCGAGAAGGGGGTTTGGCTGGATGATCTCCGGGGCGCCTTCCGTCTCCGAGAAGGGGGTTTGGCTGGATGACCTCCGGGGCGCCTTCCGTCTCCGAGAAGGGGGTTGAGCTGGATGACCTCAGGGGCGCCTTTCGTCTCCGAGAAGGGGGTTGAGCTGGATGACCTCAGGGGCGCCTTTCGTCTCCAAGAAGGGGGTTTGGCTGGATGACCTCTGGGGCGCCTTCCGTCTCCNCTGATCATCTTTGTGGCTCTTCTCTGCACTCTTTCTAGAGTTTCAACATGCAGTATTCCAAGTGTGGCCTTACCAAGGCCTTGTAAAGTGGTATTAACCCTTCACGTGATCTTGATTCTGTCTTTCTGTTAATGCAGCCCAGCACTGTGTTGGCCTTTTGGGCAACTGCAGCACACAGCTGGCTCCTATTTAAATGATTATCCACTAGGACTCCCAGATCCCTCTCATAGTTGCTACTATTATTGTTTCTATTGAGTTGCATGTTCTATATATTTTAATCAGAGTGCAAACTCCTCACTCAGTTGCGGTCATAAGTTGAGAACTACCTGTGGTTTACGGCTTTGTGTGTGCATTGGGATAATTTGGTAATTGATAGACGAGAATATCTATAGCTCAGGGTTAAATTGTGGGTTGCTTGGTGCTTTCAAAGCTTAGTGGTTTTCTTCCAGATGTTTCATTGCCAAACTAGGTAATATCATCAGCCCCACCCTCTATTGGCACTGACGATGTTCCCTAGTTGGGTAATGAAATATTTGCAAGAAAACCACCAAGCTCAGAGAGCATCAAAGACCCTCGTTTCAACCTGTGAGGTTTTATTTTTTCCAACGATTTGTCCATTGGCCCCAAAAGGAATATATCTTTGGTTTCCATGGAAGAGTCGCTTGTTCCTGGCGGCTTCGATGTTTTCAGATCTTTGTCGCCGGTGCCAAAGTTTGTGGTTTTTCGTGTCTCATACGAAAGAGAGATGCGTGTCTTCTGGCACGTTGTACTTCAATTTATGCTCCTCAAACAGCTTGCAGAGCTCCTCCAGGTATCTCTTATGGAGCTCATCAACTTCGTCTTGGCTGGGATTGTGCTTCTTCACCAGCTGAATGGGTTTTCCCACTGGAGGGATCAAACAGCAGAAATAATAATTTAATTTAATTTAATTTAATTTAATTTAATTTAATTTAATTTAATAATAATTTAATTTAATTTAATTTAATTTAATTTAATTTAATTATTTAATTTAATTTAATTTAATTTAATTTAATTTAATTTAATTTATTCTATTCTATTCTATTCTGTTCTAATTCTACTATTCTATTCTATTCTATTCTGTTCTGTTCTGTTCTGTTCTGTTCTGTTCTGTTCTGTTCTGTTCTTTATTTGACTTGACTTATTTTATTTTATTACTTCATTTTATTATTTTATTTTATTTAAACTTATGTGCCACCCATTTCA